TGAAAATTTTCTTCTTCTTCGGATGAATAGTTGAACCTTCATGCTCGTCTTTGTTGAAAGCCTCTATCCCTTGATTGAAAATTAGGATCCCCATGAAAGTCAATACCCCTTGATCGATGGTCAAAATTTAACCGTTGATCAAAATTAAACATTCGGTCAAAATTGCCTGCCTGGTCAAAATTATTACTTGGGTCAAAATTCTTTGCTTAGTCAAAGTTAGGTTGGTCAAAATTGATTTCTCTTCCAAAATCACCCAACCCGTCTCGTTGGTTTCCAAAATTATGCCTAGCTTCTCGGGGTTGTCCATCGATTCCCACAAACTCTCCTTCCCCATCACTGTCACTTAGGATTCTCTGTCGATATTAGCCATCGTTGTACTAGTTAAGGGCCATCTATTCTGCCTTTTGTAAACCCATAAGGGTACGGGTATTGGTTTGTGATAGTCGCGATTTGCGATTGGATTTTTGCGCACGCCACCCATATCGACCCTAGTCCATCACGTCTTGTGCCTCCTTTGTCGATCCTTGGTCTTTCCTACTACCGACGTTGATTCTTAGCAAGGGATCTATGTCGTCTATCTAAGCCTGGTTTGACGTGTGGGTGAAATACAGGGTGCAGATCCATATCTGCTACAACCTTATGATTTCATGCATCCAGGTTAATACCTCCTTCATCTCCAGAGTTTGTGTTGTCAACTCCCTGTCCATCTTCTTCCCTGCCTGACTGTTCATCATGAACCCAGGGCTCTTCTCAACCGTTAATGTAGTCAGTATCTGCGTGATTGAGTTGAATTCCTTGCTCCGATATCAATTTTAGTACGAAAGCATTTATAAAATTCTTATAATAAGAATTGAAATAAGAAATATGTAGAAATAACTTGCTTTGTATTGATTAAATAATAATTGACCGATATGAAAATTGTACAGTACCCCTATATTGATAGGAAAATTATTTCCTCCTCTAATATTATTAGGAAATTGAAATTAATGGAAACTATAATCCTAATCAAATAAAATATAAAAGTCGTATTACAACTATACAAGAAAATTAAATGGAAAATAAACTCCTAGAAAAGATAAAACATAGTTGTTGTAGGAAATTATTAATTATAGTTGTGATGTACTACATCATGCTCTTTGGTTGGGGGCATGCTTTGAAGACGAAAGCATATATTATGGCCCTATCTAGCTAGTTTGTGCTTGTTGCCACCCCTACTGATTGAGCTCATGATTAAGTTATTTTATTGGATTTATGCTTGCTCACATCTATATCTTCATCTATCTCTCATCTCCTTGTTGGGAATTAGAAACCCTGATTTTATTATATTGAGAGCAATCGATTAGCAGAAAAGAATAAAGATACAAGATTTATAGAGGTTCGTTTCAATGTGAGACTATGTCCTCTTTCATTGATATAGTAATTCACCATGATAAAAAAGTATACAAGTGAAAATCGAATACTTATCTTCTTTAACATTTCTCTCTCTTTTATGATGGTAATCAAAAAGTCTAATGACGACTTCCTATTTATAAAACGGATTAGGGCAAAATCGAAATTTACAAGGATACAACTTTCCAAAATGAAATTTACAAGGACATAAATTCTTAAACTATCCTTAAAAGAAATTTTGGTCCGGACTCTACTCATCACACCCCTAAGATGTGGGTTTTTTGCTCCCCTTTCAACACCCATCGTGGAGCTTGATCTATGTATTGACTTTGTGGAACAACGTAATTATGT